ACAATAATCAATACTTCTTCATTAAAATCTTGATACGTGTTTTCAATTAACGTTATAAGATTTTTTTTTTTTGGGGATGACTTTTCCCTTTGTCTTTTAGCTTGAACCCGACCCATGCATTTAAGAAGACTTCATCTAATACAAAGCGCATCGATTTTTTCTTTAATATGGTCCAAAAGCTGCTCAATTAAATATTAGTACATAGCAAATTTGCATTTTCAACTATAGTAGACTACGATATATTTTATATCCTTACATTATCTAACATATAGTGTGCATTTATGGCAACATCAACATTGATAGCTCTTCGACTTTTATTGTTTATTTGTCTTTGGGCTCTCCGAAACTCATTGAATGAAACTCCTTCTAGTCACCGTTCTAGTTGGTGCGTTGCAAATTGTGGACATCACTCATACGCAAAATTAACTAAATGTGACTGTGGGTGATTGAAGGAAAACATCGCGCTTTCAGGTTTGTGTGTAATGAGAACTCTATTTCACCAATCGCCAGACAAATAAATTGCTTTAAGTTGAGAGAGATGGAGAGTTGGAAACGAACCCTAGATGGGCCATCTTGAAGATTCTAATATCTCGAAAGAGAATACAGACATCACTTTCTTGGGCATTATTGCCACGATGAAGATTTTTGCTAGAGGACAAAACTCAATCGTGAGAAAGAAAAGGTGTGGTCGAGCACGAGAGACACAGAGTTCATTTTCTTCACCTAGAGATATCCGAACATGGTCGGTCCAATAAACAGAATTCATTGAAACGAGGACTGTCTGTAATGAAAACAAATCAATCCATCAACGAGCTTGTTCGTCTCCTCTTAATGGTTTAGCATGACATGTGGGACAAGAATACAAGTAAGACCGCCAGGAGTGGAAAATTTAGGGTTTGTTTGGTGCGGCTGACGTGGATGTGTTGTGTCGAAGTGCATGCCGTTTGGCGACACTAGCCTTTTAAGGGTACTATTGTTACGCATAATTAATGAGTTTGGTAAAAACTGCTGTGACGTTTCCGTGGTTATCAAAATGACGAAAAAGATAATGTCATTTTCATAGAGTCGTTGCCAACATTTATATTTCGACTATTAGAACATCTGCTTTCAAGTAATAATAATGTTGTTGTTCTTATTTTTACTATTAATGCTATCATAAAATTAACATCGTAATTTTAGTAATTGTTATTTTAAATTTCTGGAGAAGTTGCTATATGTTTCCTTCTAGAGAAAATATCATTGAAAATTTGAAATATACAATAATAATAACTATAATTATTATCAGTATCATTATTAAAATTAAAATTTATCTTTTCATTATTATTATGCTTTTATGAAAAATTAGGGTTCTTGTACGATACTTTAACTAATAAAATAATCTTTACAAACTTTAAAAGGTGCAACACCTCAAAATTTTCAATGTTTTTACTTCGCTAAATTTAAATATTTTGGGAAAAAAATTTGTCATATGATTGATATGATTGATCGATACTTCTCAAGTATTCTACCTAGTTTAAGTATAGCTACCAAATATTCGGGAGATCTTTCAAGCCGTACGTGTTTCCAATTGGAGAATGGGATATACGTTTCGGTGTCCCTTTACATTCGAGCCAAACAAGTTGCTTTTGCAGCAGATATGGGTTGATTTGCATATCTTGCGTCCTTCACCAATCACTAAATCCAATGGTGGACAAAGGCTTTTCGTGAACGACTTTTCTTCCGCTGACAATGAGTGCTTTTTGCAGTTCTTTTGAAATTGAATAGTACGTGATTACTACCTCAATGCGATGAAAAATTTCAAATTGATATTTATAATAAATTTATTAAAAATTAATTTTTAGATTACAAAAAATCACAAATCGATATATCTGTGGCAAATGAAGGGTAAAATATCAAATTGATACACCCGTCAATTGCCACATTACATCAAATTCAGAAATTTGATAATAAAATTTAACAGAAAGTAATGAAGGGTAAAATTATCATAAATGTATCAATTTGAGATTTTTAGTGGTCAAACAATTAGTTTAGGGTAAATTTATCACATGTATACCAGTTTGAGATTTTTTGGTGGTATTAATCCTAACTCAGGAGATGGATAAGAGTAAAACTCAAACATATTGTCGAGGGATTGAGACCCTTTAGAGTTAAATAATATAATCAAATCCTAAATTTAAGGAGAAAGTTATCGAATTAGTTCTAAGCCTATTGTATAGATACCAATTCAATTCTCAATTTTGCAATTTTACTGATTTAGTTCTAAACCTTTGTTTGAAATTTTATTGTAGTCCTTCCGGCCAATTTTCTCCAAAAACTGCTGATGTGGCGATATACCACATGGAGCAGTTGACGATGATTGGACAATCACGTTAATGATTTTTCGGCAAAAATTAGCCATTAAGATTACATTGGAATTTTGCATATAGGTTGAGAACTGAATTAGTAAAATTAAATTAAATTGACATTCGTACAATAAGTTTAGAATCAATTAATAAATTTGCTAAATTTAGGTTTACAACCCACCATTAGGGACATTTAAAGGTGTGCAAAGGAACCGGGAACAGCCCAGACAGCCTAGAACCGGCGGTTCCCGGTTCTAATTTACTAGAATCGGTGAGTGCTAGTCTAGTTCTCAGTTCTAGGTGTTGAATCGCCCACTCGCCCACCCAGACCGGATCGATAATATATATGATTATAAGGGAAAATATCACCAAAAACCCAAAACTATGCCACTTGTGACAAATTTATCCTGAACTTTTTTTTTGTGATATGAAAAATCCCAAACTATGCCACTTGTGACAAATTTACTTTGAACTTTTTTTTGTGACACGAAAAACTCCAAACTATGCCACTTGTAACACATTTACCATACAATACTTTGGCCTAAGGGCATTTTCGTCTTTTTCCTTTTTTTTTTTTTTTCCCTTTCTTCTCTCTTCCCTCCCCTAGCCATGGCGGAAGGAAGCCGGCGAGGGCCACCCTCGCCAGTGTTGGGGTTGGGCGAGGGTTGCCCTCGCCGGATCTGGTGAGGGCGACCCTCACCAGCGTTGGGCAAGAGTCGCCCTCGCCTGGGTGGGCGAAGGCACCCCTCCCCCAACTCAAGAGACCCTCGCCGGCGTAGGGCGCGAGCTGCCCTTGCTGGCGTTGAGCGAGAGCTGCCCTCACCCGCCTAGGCAAGGGCGACTCTCGCCCGATGACGGCGAGGGTCGCCTTCACCTGGGCGGGCGAGGCTGCCCTCGCCCAACCCCAACACCGACGAGGACCGCCCTTGCCGGCTTCCCTCCGCCATGGCCAGCGGAGGGAAGAGAGAAGAAAGTAAAAAAAAAAGAAAAAAAAACAGAAAAAGGAAAAAGACCAAAATGCCCTTGGGCTAAAATATTATGGGGTAAATATGTCACAAGTGGCATAATTTGGGGTTTTTCACGTTATAAAAAAAAGTTCAGAATAAATTTGTTACAAGTGGTATAGTTTGGGATTTTTCGTATTATAAAAAAAAGTTCAGGGTAAATTTGTCACAAGTTGCATAGTTTGGGGTTTTTGGTGGTATTTTCCTTAATTATAATTTGTAAGAAAACTTTCCAACCAAAAAAAAAGAAAATATTTTAAGAAAAATAAAAATCATAAAATTCATAATCTAAAGCTCAATGCCCATCAACTAGGTGCTTGTATTGTCTCACTCTCATCTTGTGTGAGTCGTCTCTTTATCTCTCACTCATTGTCTTGACCTCCAAGCTTAATGCCCATAGATTCACGACCTCGACTTTTGACTCCTATCAACTCACGGTCACGCCTTCGGCTGTTCATCGTTTCCCTCTCTCACTCTCGATCATCTCCATTTGCGGGAAACTTAATGGGACCGGTTCCATGTTATTGACAGGTAGTTCTCGATTCTAATTTTTTGGAACCAGTCCCTAATTGGCGATTTCTGGTTCTATGATGGGAACCACCCACTTGAACCATGCTCACCCCTAGGGACATTGGATGATCCAAATTTACTTTCCTTGTTTTCTTTTGTCTCACTTTTTCCTTACCATTTTTATCCCCTTTCCTTCTAGGGTCACCGAGGATGGAGCTACGGTAGGGAGTTGCGGCCATGACCGCCCAAATTTTGGGTCGCCACTTGCTCCTATTGGTCGCGACCCTCTCTGGTAGAGGCCGCCGTGCGGGCGAGGGGACGGAAGTGTGCTAGGGTTTTTTTTCGGGTCCGATCATTTTTCAAGGTAATCCAACTTTAAAGAATCCCAATCAATTCTTCCAATCAATTCTTCCATTCAAGCTTCACCCTACCCCTCCCTCGTGCATGTAGCAAATGCCTTCACGATTTCTTCTACGCTAATAGAGAGACACTCCAATGCTCATCATCACTACCCAATTGAATCTCATGTCATTCTTCTGGTGGAGAAAGAAAAGCAACCTCGCATGAAAATTCAGTTCTCTCCAATCATTGACACCGCACCAATTACAGGAAGGCGCCGAACTCTTCTCTTCTTTCTTTTCATCACGTTCGTCTATTTATCCGCGCCAAAGTTAGGGGTCCCACCTTTTGGACGGCGCATGATGATGTTGACCCCTCGCGATTGCGCAATCTCGCTCGTTCCCCTCGTTTCCGATTTTGAAATGTTCAAAAGGGCGGTTCGGTGATCCAATGATCCGCCGACCACCGCAACGCCTCCCCCCCCCCCCCCACTCCACAAAATCACCGAGCGGGTCCCGCCACGTCACGGGTTGGGCCGTCGGTCTCGCCACACATCGGGCCCCGTCCCATCAGGGCCGCACACGTGGCAGGGCCGTAGCCAGTGAGACGTCGCGGTCATTAGCTGTAAAGTCACCGACGTGCGGAGAAGCCAAACCCCCCACGGTCATTTAGAGCCTCGTGCGCGCGAGTTTCTGTTCTTTTACCGGCAACTGGCCATACCGGTTCCACTGCCGTTGGTTTAGGCGATATATAAAAGGGGGAGAGAGTGAGAGTGTGGAATTGAGAGAAAACTAAGAGTCCTTAAGAGAGTTGAGAGAGTGCGAGGATCGAGAAAAGAAAGAAAGAAGGATGGCAATCTATAGGATCGCGATCGGGGCACCCGGAGAGGCGAGCCACCCGGATGCGCTCAGGGCGGCGCTCGCCGAGTTCTTCTCCATGCTCATCTTTGTTTTCGCCGGCGAGGGATCCGGGATGGCTTTCAGTAAGTCGTCGTGCTGTTATTAGTATGTTTCTTGCGATTTTTTCATGAGATGGAACATCTGGCTGGATCAATCCTCATGGTTACGAGGCTATCCCTTTGATATGTGTTGAAAAGCACCCCTTGTTTTGAATATACAAGATAGAACTAAGCACTTGAGTACATAGGTATTTCTTATTGTTTACTATCAGTCTTCATTCTTTTTGTATATTGTTTACGATGGCCGGATCAATCTTCATGGTTACGAGGCCGTCCCTTTGATATGTATTGAAAAGTGCCCCGTGTTTTGAATATACAATATTGAAACGAGCACTTGTACATAGATATTTCCGTGATGGAATTGTGTTCGTGCATTTATGAATCATATATTCGCGTCATTTTGTTAGACAAACTCACTGACGACGGATCGACCACCCCGGCGGGTTTGGTGGCGGCTGCACTCGCTCATGCGTTCGGGCTGTTCGTGGCAGTGTCGGTGGGCGCGAACATATCGGGCGGCCACGTGAACCCGGCCGTGACGTTCGGGGCGTTCCTCGGTGGGAACATAACCTTGTTGAGGGGGATCTTGTACTGGATCGCGCAATTGCTCGGGTCGGTGGTGGCCTGCTTGCTCTTGAAGTTCGCTACTGGCGGAATGGTACGTTCAGTCAGATTTTCCCGAAAATCACTCGTGCAACACATGCATTACAAAATTGGATCTAGAAATACTTCGGAAGCCAACAAGAAATTATGAATTCCCAAAAAAAAAACATGAATTTTCTAATGGGTTGATGCCTTTATCATAAAGAATTCAATACTACCATTTCAAATTTGCTATTAAGTTTTCTTTATATTGAAAAACATGAGTATAATATCATTTAAAAGGTGAACACTAAGCATGAAACTTAATAACATTTCAACAATGCTATTGTTATTTATTTAGTTTTTTGTTTGATTATTTGAGTGCAGGAAACATCAGCATTCTCGCTCTCGTCCGACGTTTCCGTGTGGAATGCGCTGGTCTTCGAGATCGTGATGACCTTCGGCCTGGTGTACACCGTGTACGCCACTGCGGTGGATCCGAAGAAGGGTAATGTGGGAATCGTCGCGCCCATTGCGATCGGCTTCATAGTTGGCGCTAACATCTTGGCTGGCGGCGCGTTCGACGGCGCCTCCATGAACCCGGCCGTCTCCTTCGGCCCGGCCGTGGTCAGCTGGTCCTGGAGCAACCACTGGGTGTACTGGCTCGGCCCGCTCATCGGCGCTGGTATCGCGGCTCTCGTGTACGACAACATTTTCATCGGAGACAACGCGCATGAGCCTCTTCCGACAGCCGATTTCTAGGCTTTTTCCGTTAATCTCTTTTAATTCGGTGAAATGCAAAAATAATCGTCTTTTTTATCGGGCATGATAGAGAGAAGTTGGGCTTGTTACATTGTAACAAAATAGGTGTTGTCTGTGTCTTATATTTTTATTGTCGGAGTATGGTTTAAATGTTTCTTGTACTTTGTTAAGATCATGAGAGGTTTTGTTATGTTTGTTCTAGCCCTTTATCTTTTTCCACGTTTGAAAATCACTTTTTTTGAATGATCACTTGTATCGCATGAATTAATTGTTGAGGTTATCTCATATCGATTGTGGAAGGAACTGATGATCAGTTTATAAATATAAGGGAAAGCTTCAATATTAATTAATCAGTAGAAAATGTTATCATCATCGACAAAAATTTATGTCTAAATATTTTATATACAATGAAAATGTTTATTGTTCATTCATTTTTTTAATCGATACAAGCAATTATTTTTATATATTTTTCGCGAAATAAACAGAGCCGTAGTTCTAGTCCTTGCATTTAGCGATAATGACAACTTTGATTCAATATCCAATGTGGTTCTTAAATTTTTAATTTATTCATTGTGGTCACTGAACTTTACCCAAATGTACAATGTGGTCCCGTAATTTATATTTTTTCAATGTGGTCCCTCGAATTTTGGTATATATTCAATTTAGTCCCAGAACTATATGAAAATATTTAATAATGTCCTTCCATTAATTCAAACTCAAGAACAAAAATATTTGATATTTTCATAAAGTGTGTGGATTAAATTAAATATGTACCAAAAGTTCACAGATTACATTGAACAAATTAAAAGTTCATGGACTACATTGCATATTGGGGTGTAAATTAAAAGTTCATGGAATATATTGCACATTGGGGTGAAGTACAAGGACCAGATTGAACAAATTGAAAGTTCATGACCACATTACACATCGAACCAAAGTTTAAGGATGATTTGCGTCATTTTCCCTTACAATTACATAGTCTGGAGCAATTGTGTGATTAAAAGAAGAATACTATTTACCTCCTTGTTTTTCCAGCAGAAGCTCCTCCCGTCGTCTTCTAATAATTAATTCGAAAAGTTCTGTTCGGAGTATGGTTGAAATGTTTCTTGTACTTTGTTAAGATCATGAGAGGTTTTGTTATGTTTGCTCTAGCCCTTTATCTTTTTCCACGTTTGAAAATCACTTTTTTTGAATGATCGCTTGTATTAGTCATGGCCACGGGCCGGTTTCGGCCCGGAACCGGCCCGTTGACCGGGCCCGCGGTTCGGAACCGACAGTTCCGAGCTCGGTTCCCCAAAAAAAAAAAAAACCCCTGCAGTGCAGCAGGGCCTGCACGTCTGCAGGGCCCCACCCCCACCCATGCCCACCTCCTCCGGTCCTCCACGCCCTCCTCTCCCACCAGTCTTCCGCTCCACCCTCTCCTCCTCCGTCCACATCCCTCTCCGCCACTCCCACCCCCTCTCCGCCGCCGCCGTCCCCTCCACCTCCCTCCTCCTCATGCCCTCCTGGTCCTCCCACCCTTCCCTCCCTTGCATCGGCGTCAAGCTCGTGACCCACTTCCCCGGCAACTCCTCCGCGTTGAACCTGCCGGGGGTCCACGCCGTCTTCGTCCTCTTCAGCTCCCTCACCGGCCAGCCCCTCGCCACTGCGGACGCCACCGTGTTGACCCTATACCGCACCGCCTGCGTCTCGAGCCTCGCCTCCGAGCTCCTCTCGCGGATCGACAGCAAGGTCCTTATCATGGTCGGTCCCTCTTTCCCCCCTCTCCCCTGCGCCTCCTCCGGTCCTCCCCTTTTCTCCTCCGCCCGCCCCCCGTCTTTCCAGATCTGACCCCCGCCGCCGTCGCCGCCGTCGCCCCCGCCCATGGCGGCAGCCGCCGACGCCGACGCCCCCTCCTCCTCCCCTCTCGCTACCCTGCGCCTCCTCCCCTTTTCTCCTCCTCCCCCCTCGAACCGGAACCGGTCGGAACCGGAACCGGCCCGGAACCGCCGGTTCATACATGACCACGAACCGGAACCGGCGGTTCCTGAACCGTGGCCATGTCTAGCTTGTATCACATGAATTAATTGTTGAGGTTGTCTCATATCGATTGTGGAAGAAACTGGTGGTCAGTTTATAAGTATAAGGGAAAGCTTCAATATTAATTAATCAATAGAAAATGTTATCATCATTGACAAAAATTTATGTCTAAATATTTTATATACAATGAAAATGTTTATTGTTCATTCATTTTTTTAATTGATACAAGCTATTATTTTTATATATTTTTCGCGAAATAAACAGAGCCTTAGTTCTAGTCCTTGCATTTAGCAATAATGACAACTTTGATTCAATATCCAATGTGGTCCTTAAATTTTTAATTTGTTCATTGTGGTCACTGAACTTTACCCAAATGTGCAATGTGGTCCCGTCATTTATATTTTTTTCAATGTGGTCCCTCGAATTTTGGTATATATTCAATTTAGTCCCAGAACTATATGAAAATATTTAATAATGTCCTTCCATTAATTCAAACTCAAGAACAAAAATATTTGATATTTTCATAAAGTGTGTGGATTAAATTAAATATGTACCAAAAGTTCACAGATTACATTGAACAAATTAAAAGTTCAGGGACTACATTGCATATTGGGGTGTAAATTAAAAGTTCATGGAATACATTGCACATTTGGGTGAAGTACAAGAACCATATTGAACAAATTGAAAGTTCATGACCACATTACATATCGAACCAAAGTTTAAGGATGGTTTGTGTCATTTTCCCTTACAATTACATAGTCCAGAGCAATTGTGTGATTAAAAGAAGAATACTATTTACCTCCTTGTTTTTCCAGCAGAAGCTCCTCCCGTCGTCTTCTAACAATTAATTCGAAAAGTTCTGTTCGGTAAATTTAATTTCATACCCTTTCGATGCATGGCTCATTTCCATGCCTAGTTTTCATCAATCTTCGAAAATAATACAATTGTATAAAAAATACTGGTGACTGTACTATAACGTTTCTGGTAAGCATCCGAAATTTATAATTAAATCACCGGGGAACTCATCAAGGATCTAAAAGTAACGAATTAGAGAAATATGTTTCATTGAAAGTACATTTTGCGCATATTTCGGTGTAAGCATTAAATGTAGGTACGATATTTTAGGAAAATTGCACCATAAGTCCTAAATCCAATATCGAAATGCGATCGACTACTAAATCTTTTAATTAGTACAATTAAGTCCAAAACATTTATCGGAAATTGCAACTGAGTCCTAATCTTTTAATTAGGGGTGTGCAAAACGGAGCGCCCGAATTAAAAATCGCTTGGACCGGACCGAACCAGCTAGTTGGTTCCGATTTTAGGGAGTGTTGATCCCATTCTCGATTCCTAGAAGTGGAACTGATGTCCAGGCGGTCTTAATCGAACTAGACCGATCGGACCATACTAACTATATATACTTTTATTTATTTTTTTAAATTAGTAAACTGTAAACTAAATCCACGTACAATGCTTTCTTCTTATCTTCGCACCACAATGACTCTTCACTTATCATCGCTTCCGTCAATATTTTGAGATTTATTACTCTCTCTCATTGTGGTGGGAAGAAAACAAAAAAAGTGACCTGTTCCATTAGACTGGACCGGAGCGATTACCAACTGGTCTGGTCCTTGGTTCCTAAAATTGGGAACCCGTTCTCCTTGACACCGGACCGGAATGGGAACTAACCATCCTTACTTTTGATTGATTCAATTAAGTCCCAAACCTTTATCAAATATTCTAGTTAAGTCCCAAAACTCCTTTTAAAATGTACAATTATGGATATATCATTGGCACTTTTTAAGTGAAACGTTTGCAATTTTAGGTGTTCATCGAAAGGACTTCATTTTGCACCTTTTGAAAAAAAATAAGAACTTAATTGAATCAATTAAAATGTTTAAGACTTGATAGAATTTTGTACACAAGATTTAGGACTTGCCGCTCACTTTCCCTTGCTATGTTTGAAAGACCTTACAACTGCATGGAACTGCATTTAAGAAATTACAGGTCAAAATCTTGGAATTTTACAAAGCATCTACAGTTATAGTATTTTGGTCAATTTATTTGATTATTAGTTAAATAATCAATCTTTTTGTTTCTACAACTCATATTTACGGCAAGAGGGCAAAGCCCCGGCGTGGATATGCACAATCCTCTACAGGGTTTGCGTGGATATGTGGAACGATTTGATAATAAGCAAATATGGAAAAACCTTCGATACGATTAATCAATTGTATTTGGAATAACACTTATTTTGTTATTACTTAACATTAAGCACATTCAACGTTTAAAAAAAAAAATACATATATAGAATTCAAAGTCATTCAAAGTTAATGCGGAATTCCATCTTTTCTTGTTTTAATTTTTTTTAATAGGAAAGTTATTAAGTACTTCAACTTCTATATAAGCTTCTCATAAATTAATTGTTTTGGGCAAGATTTCGTGAAGTTCTCCGGAAAAGCGCTCTCTCGTCTTTGAGGGAAAGAAATCGTAGCACCCCTAATTCAATTTGACTCCACTTAAATATACTTGGAATTAGAAGATTTCATGCTTTTAGTCTGTTTGTTTCGCGAAAAATAAATAATTTAAAAAATATTTCCCTTAAAAAAGATCGCTTGAAATAATTAGTCAATGAAAATTAGTTTCATTACCGATAATATTTTATATCTAAACATTCTCGTGCATAACGAAAATATTTTTCGTTCATTCATTTTTATAAGCGATATAAGGGATCTTTTTTTGGAAATATTTTCTGAATTATTTATTTTTCGCGAAATAAATGGAGCCTTAGTGCAGCCTACTCGGGTCATTATTCACTTTTTTACCTCTTCTCATAATTAAGACTGATTACAAATGTATTTGGTAGAAATTAAATATAATTAACATGTGCACATGCGATTAATTATGGGGTCGGATTTTGTTCTATATCTACATGCATCATGAAAGGCATGTAATAATCAATTGTATTTGGAATAACACTTATTTTGTTATTACTTAACATTAAGCACATTCAACGTTTAAAAAAAAATACATATATAGAATTCAAAGTCATTCAAAGTTAATGCGGAATTCCATCTTTTCATGTTTTAATTTTTTTTAATAGGAAAGTTATTAAGTACTTCAACTTCTATATAAGCTTCTCATAAATTAATTGTTTTGGGCAAGATTTCG